ATTGCAATTTGGGTTTGATGATTAATCTTGATTGGTTTCAACCTTTTGATAACTTTCAATATAATGTTAAGGCAATCTACAGTATTATTTGTAACCTTTTACATGATGAGTGATTTAAGCTATCAAATATATTAACATTAGCATTAATACCCAGACCTAACAAACCTAAACTACACAAGCTAAATCATTATTTGGCACCATTAATAGATTAATTAATTGACTTGTAGAATGATAAGTGTCAAATTTTGTATTAAATTTATATATTTATTATTATTAATAAAATTAAGTTAGGTGTCGTATTAGCAAGTACATATGAAAGCTCTACCAGCAAATTTGTTAGAGCTGCAGTTATATGTTGTTTTTGTAACATTCTGGTTGCAAGAAAATTGTGTAAACATATATTAGTCTGAATTGCTTGTTATAGATGTCTAAAGAGGACTAATTTTGATGAAAAAAATCAATTAAACTTTGGTGGATTTGCTGATATGAGCAAATGGTTTATTAAAAGAAATATTAATGAAGTTCAACAAAATGCCATCATGTAGAAAGATTGTAATACTGAAGATGCAAGAAGGCAGCATACATCAGAAACATTGGTTTGCTAATCTGAAATTTATCGTCTTTCATATTTTAATTCTATTTGATTTCTTGTAATCGATTTAATATATTACTTATTTTTGGGCATTGCTAAATAGATTGTTAAATTATAAATTGAAGTAGGTCATTTAATGCTGTATAATCTCACTTTAATAGAGAAATAGGCCAATAAAATGCAGATGTCATCAGATATTAATAGAATTCTATACAAAATTGCTATCAAAGAAGGATTTTCAAAGTTTATAGTAAATTAATAGAAGACCTTTATTCTAATGTATGCAATATCGGTTATTTAGAACTTATTAGCTAAAAATAACTAATGAATTTTTATCTATTTTGTTTATGCATATTCTATTTTGATGTATCAAATTGTGTTCAAGGATGGTTTAGAAGAAGCTTATCGATCTTTTCTTAAAATAGTGAAACTTATTGAAAAGACTTATAGACCTAAAAAAATAATGTATAATTTACACTTATATTTACATATATATAAATGTATTATAGACTACGAGCTATTGTATGCATTTTGGTGCTTCAGTTATGAAAGAATGAATGGCTTATTAGGTAAGTTGAATTCTAAAAATATCAATAGTTATATTATAATATCGATACTTAATAAGGATTTTTATTTTTATAGGGTTATTTAACAGCAGTAATAGAAGAATCAAAGCTGAATTACTCAAAACTATGCAGAACTTTTCACTATTAGATAAGCTATCATCACATGCTAAAGGTTATTTACAAGCTTGTTTACAGTTCTTTGAGCAAAAAACAATAAATGGCAGTCTTGTCATTCATGATGGAAATGACTGTCAAGAATTTCTTTCAATGTTAATAAATGTTGAAAAAAATTTTGCAATAAACTCTAAAAAGTTTCTAGATAAATTATTAAGCCCAATGAAGAAGCATCAAAGACTTTTAAAAAAAAATATCAGCATTATTAATAGAGTATTATAAAAATGTATATAATTTTAACTTTGTTTCTTTAGCTAAAATTCATACAATACTTCAAATGTTATACCAGTATTGCTTACAGTAACTATTTATGGAAGAATAAAAATTAGAGATGAAATTTTTAGGTCTACTTATTCGAAAAGACACAAAAAGTCAGCCAAAATTTTCACTAAGTTTATATTAGATAATAATACTACTGATATTTATTCCAGGATCATTCAATATTATATTAAACACAAGATACAACTACTAGAAGGCCAAAAGGATTATGTACTAGTATTTATTAGATAGTATCCATATCAGCAGATTTTTGGAATTTACTATTAAAATTCTAAAATCTTTAATAGTGAATAACTTTCGATCCACCTAACTATTTTTGATAAAACAATTATTAAAATGCTTATTTTAATAAGACGATTCTAACAAACCTAGAATCGCTAAAATCCAATCATAGGATCCTGAGATCGATAGAGATTTGTATTATTTCAGGTATTTTAGGATTGGTTAAACCAATTCTAAAACACCCGAAGTAATATGAATCAGTAACATTTTTAGAATTCTGTGATTAGATTTTAGCGACTCTAGGCTTGTTAGAATCGTCTTATCAAAATGAGCATTTTAATAATTGTTTCACCAAAAACAGTCTGGTAGATTGAAAGTTATTCACTGTTAAAGATTTTAGAATTTTAATAATAAATTCCAAAATCTGCTGATATGCAGACTGTTAATGACTCAAATATAAGATTTTATTGCCAAATCGATAGCATTTATAATATTGAATTATGGAATTAGAATTTCTATAATTTAAGTAGAGATTGCATAATTCTGGTGCATAATATTTTAGATCGATTTATTTTAGTGTCTATTAAGATCAGAAAAAAAAATCTGAAAGAATATATGTTGGTTATTCCTATTAATAAAAAATTTTATATTTAAATATCATTTATAAAGATGTATGTTAGTTTACAAATTTATTGTATTGCTTTATCAAAAATTTTTATTATATCTATAAAAATTAATAGTTCTATCAACATTATTATGTTTTCTGATTTTTTCTTTAGTCAAAATTTTATTGATATTCTTTATAAATTATTTAATTAAAATGCTATAAATATTGAAAAAATGATATTTCCTAAAATCATATTCTTATTTTCCTTTTGGCATTTTTGATCACTTTTTGAAATTAATTCAACTGTAATTTGAAACAACTTTGTTAATATATATGTATATAACAATATACAAATTCTTTAACAATACATAGTTATATTGATTTTTTTCTTAATTTATTCTATTTTTTAGAAATTCTTCAATAAATATTTATAATCTTGTAACACAGTACATATTGTTCAAAAGCAAATGATATTTAAGATACTTTTTGATCTTCTCCAGCATCGCAATAAAAAAGTTACTATCACATGATAGTATTTGTAATGTATAAAAAATCTTTAAGTATGTTTAAGTTAGGGTAATGGGACCAAGTGTTAGCGAGAATGTAGTAAACCCTGTGCCAACCCGTACTAACATTCAGACAACTTTTCTCATAGACATCATTTGGAAAATTATCAATAAACAAGACATCTTTTTCTTCATATCCAATCTGAAAATATTCGTATTTTCTATATTCAGATTATTTTCTATATGTTTTGTAATAAGAATTTAGCTGATCATTATTTTGTTTAAGATATTTTAACTAGCTATATTCATTGTTATTAAATCATTATTCATATTTAGCATAAGCAAATGAATTCAAATAACAGTTTTTTTATGTTTGAGAAGTCAATTAGACTATAATAAATAGACATATCCAATTTCTTAATACGATCTAAAATTTCTTCTCTTGTTATACAATCATTAAAAATTATAATGATCCTACTTTTAAAGTCATGGCTAAGGATCGAATCTTTTAATATTTGCCAATTATATTTTAATTTTAATCATTGATTATTCATTTGAGACAGTTGAAAACCCTAAACTAGTATTGAAACTATTTTTAAATATTTGAAAGATAACAATATTTTACCCAGTCACTGCATTAGTTTGCTATAATTTAATAATATAGTAACCTTTAACCCTAGTAAAAATATGATTGAATAGAAAATTCCATTAAAAAGTTAATTAAATATATTCATAAATATTTACAAAATTCACAAATTGTAATTCCAGTGATCCTTTATTAAGATTATTATATAAGTACTTAATTGTAGTTGAAATGAGGTATTGTAAACATAAATTATGTTTTTTTTTTAAGAAATAATTAAATCATATTGTGAGAATTGAAAGCCAAGCATTTATGAATTTTTTTTTATTTCATTTCTTATAATTATTGCTGTAATTTATTTAAGTTATTGTATTTCACATTTCATTTTATTTATCAAAATGAAGTGGCCTACGAATATTATTTGGAAATTATCATAATCTTGAATATGACCACCACACTTTATATAACTGCCTCTTAGTTGATCATACATTTTGTTGTATTGCTGTGCCTATATTATGATCCTTTTGATCATATATCTAAAAATTCTATAAAAATTATGTCTATTTATTTTTTTTATCTTAATAAAAATGAAAAGCAACAATTGACCTCAAACGTATATCAGGTCGATCTATCAAGTATTCTCCAAAAAACTTTATTTGAATATACTGACTTTTTAAAGACTTATTCAAGCTACAAGATAAAAACTCTTATTTCTTTGTGATATCAATGTACTCAAGATATATCTAAGCCTAATTTAGAGATTTCAACTTTTGCAGCTATTTAATGAATTCTGTTTAGAAAATGTAAGTGAATTAAGAATTTCTACATTTTAGTGGCTGAAGATAGCTCAACATTTCCTTTAATACCTAGTTCATAGTTCTATTTATCAGAATTGAGAGAATGTGAATTTAAATTTGTTGTTTCAAATAGTCAAAACATGAATGTATATAATTATATTAATTTAATTTCAACATGAAACAAAAGAATTCTGACTATCTATATTATAGCATATAATAAAAATATACTAGCAAATTGCCAAGAGCTATTTTTAAATTTAATTAATACTCAAACTGAACTCAAAAATCTTGAGCTGAATTATTTTAGCACTTCTAGTTTTATATCTACGTTGTGACAAGAAATGCTACAAGCCAAATCTTAAAGTTTTAGAAAACTAATTTTACAAGGAATCAAGTTTAATAAAGATGATCTTGCAAATCTGGTACCAAGCTTAGAGAAATTATCGATAAAATATTCTTTTAGAAATTCTTTTAGAAAAAACAAAAGCAATTTACCAAATCTTCGAAAGTTCGAATTAATAAATAATGAAATAGAATTAAATAGAATTATACTAAATATAAAATGCAGTTTACTAAAATTTTTTATAATAAACGAGAAGGAATTAAGCAATGAAGTAAAAGAGAAATTTATTTTTTGCTTAGTCAAAATTATCCAAACATAATTACTTTATGTTATGTATGATAATCTTATATTCTTTTCTGCACTTAAAAAACTTCATAAACTTTGTCAACTACAAATAGGAGGATTTGCTTATTATAATCTTCTTTATAGTAGTCAATATTATCTACAAGCCTTAATTAGATATTTGGCTAACTCTTTAAAAATTCTTAGCTTACTTGATATTTATGATTATCATTATAAAAACTTGAATTGTTTTTTACAAGATTTTGACATAGAAAGGGTGAAATTAGAAGTGTTTATATTACCTTTTAATGTTGAGCTTGATCTACTTTCAAATTTAAGAAAATTTATTGAAAAAGCTAAATATTTAAGATATATAGAAATAGTAAGATCAGAAAATTACAATGTAGAAAAACAGAAAAGCAGTAAGAGAGAAATAATTAATCTTTATCAAGTTAGAAATATTAAATATGTTTTAAAATTTTAGTTAGAGAGATATAAAGATTATTTTTGTGCTTATGAGATAGAATTTGAATCCTACATAGGAACTAAAGAATAATAAAAATTTAATATAACTTACATTTAAAACTCAGTTTAAAAAAAAAAACTTATTTATGTTAAAATAATATTAAAAAATATTATATTTTTGTAAAGAAGCAGATTATCTATCCTAAGATTATGAGTTGGGTTGGGCCAGAATTGATTGGTTACATTTAATCGATTAAATCAGATTTACTAAGGATCTTGAACCCAAAAAAATATATGACAGCTATATACATAGTATTTCTATTATGATATTTAAAGTTAAAATATTAATAACTATCAGAGATGATGCTGAAACAAGACAATATAGAAATATAAACCCTACTAAAACTTGTCTATACTTTTTAATTAGCCCTAAACCCTAATTTAACTACAAAAAAAGCTAAAACATTCCAGAGAAATATGGCTCAGATTTTGAAGGGAGCTATGTAGTAAGACTGCTTGTAGTTGTTTACGAGAGAAAAAGGTCTAATGAAGTCAGCCATTAGGATTTTTAATTTCTCTGAGAAGTAAGATAATATGAAAGTTTTCATTTATGTATTATTTTTATTTGTTAATTGGTAATTAAATAGTCAATATTTAATTTTCAGCTCATTATTATATTCTTTAATAATAATTCTATATGATTTTAATTTATATTGATAAATTAAAATTAGATTCTTTTTTAATCACACTATTAAAGTATCCAAATGGTTCAATTGTATCAATCGAAAAGGTAAATCTAATTGTATTTCATATGAATTACACAAATTTTAATGAAAAGTAGATATTGTATTTCAAGTATTCAATAATTGTTATATATTAAGCAAGAAAATGCTAATGTAAAGGATTAAACACAGTTATGATCAAAAATAAAAAAGATTTCTGTTCATTAGTAATTGACTTTCTAAAAGAAGATGATTTCAAAATAACCCAATGCAAAAAAACTTCAGAATATACTACAGTCGGCCCTCTTAGAACCGATTCTGTCAAAACCGATAACCTGCCAAAATCGGTTAAAAATCAACCTACCAGACACCCATTCCATAAGTAATAACTGATAACCTGCCATTTCCGATACTAAATCTGTCTATCATGCATACCGGTTCTAAGAGGGCCACTGTATTATTGAAGTCAGATTCAATATGTATTTTTTTAAAGTTATAATCTAATTATTTGGTATAAAACAATTTCTAATGTAGAAGAATATAAAAAATTATATATCAAAACTACAACTCATGAAGAAATATATCCAAAATTGGTAGCTGTTACCGAAAAAATAGTTAACAAGCTTGGTTAAGACCAAATAGATTACTATGTTGAGAAAACTCATTTAAATCAAATAAATTACTTTAATTGATGATCCAAATAAGATCTGCAGAGTTACTATATTGGGACAATAGTAAATTTTGGGGATAAGTACAATATAAATTTTTATTATATGCTTCAATCTGAGCGGAGTCAAATAAAAAGTATTTTTTTTATTAAGTTAATGATATATGTCGATTAATTGAAAGTTGTAAAGCTCGCCGAGATGCATCTAACGGTGGTTAGATCATTCAAATCGGCCCACTGAATGGCGAGTTATTATTAAAAAACTATTGGCCGACTATATAAAATCTCTATGTAAACAATATTAATTTACATAGAGATTTTATATATTCGGCCAATCGTTTTTAATAATAACTCGCCATACAGTGGGCCGATTTGAATGATCTAACTACCGTTAGATGCGTCTCGGCGAGCTTTACAACTTTCAATTAATCGACATGTATCATTAACTTAATAAAAAAAATACTTTTCATTTGACTCCGCTCAGATTGAAGTATATAGTTAATATTATAGGAATTTTGCCCCAATTTCTAATATAGAAATTCTGCCGATCTTATCCGGATCAGCAATTAATGAATATAGGATCATAGGTTTTCTAAAAGAAGAGTATTTCAAATATCGCAAAGAATATTTTAGAAATTTAAAAAAGTTTAAACATGATAACAAATCAGAGTTGTAAAGTAATTAAAATTTTGATTCAGAAATAAATATTTAACATATAAAATTCAAATAACTTTTTTTCATCTGTTTACTGTTGTCATTTTAATAAAGTTTTAGACCTGATATAATAATAGTAAAACTATTCTTATTAAAGAAAATCAATAATAGTATTTTCATTTTTTGTCCAAAAAAAGATGTAATTGCATCTTTTTCGTAGGAGAGTAAGATATAATTAATGGTATAAACATCTTCATCATTAAAAGTTGCATGATTCCAGACGATAAGATAATACATATACTGTAAAGTTTTATGCAATTTGGACAAGTATTCATCGAGATATTTTAATCTTTCTAAAAAGCTTAAAGTTTATAATTAAATACAAAGGATACTCGAACTAAAAATGTAGAGTTTGTTTTAGGGTGCGGAAAAAAAAGCCCGGTTGATTTCTGAAATTTTGAAGGTGCTGCCAGTAACAAGTCTTCAAAGTTGACCGGGTCGGGCCTAGGCCCGGCCCGATTGGGCCCGACCCAGTCAACTTTGAAGACTTGTTATTGGCAGCAGGCGTGTGAGAGATACAAATGGAGCCCATTTGCTGAAAGTGTGTTTATTATACTAATTACATATAATAAGTTCAGCTTGAGCACCAATTGTGGAACACTGTTTTTATAGCCTTCAAAATTTCAGAAATCAACCGGGCTTTTTTTCCACACCCTAGTTTGTTTTGTTCGGACTGATCCGGGTTAATAAAACTTTTCATGATTTGATTGGCTAGTTATATCGGGTAATCCCGTGATATATGAATCTTCTAAAGAAATTTTTTTTAAAAATATCGATTTTTTATTATGCAAATCAATTTCTATCTATAATTCAAAAATGTAGCACATGTCAAAATTTATCCAAATATGTCAAAAACTTAGTTTTCATTTTTTGGACAGTATCGCGGTATCGACCAACGGCCCCATATAATTAATATAAAAAATACACTACCAGAAGCAGGCTCTGCTTGCCTTTCACATGCACCTTTAGCCAGTAAAAGTCTTTCAAACTCGCTACATAAACCGGATCCGGATCGGATCCAGATCCGAATGAACAGTTTTGAAGGACCTGCCAATAGCAACAGAAGCATGTGAGAATCAAATGGTGCCTATTGCTGATAGTGTGTTTGCCATATTAATTATACGTACAGTTTACCTTTTGTGAAATGCTAAATTTATACCCAAACATTAATTTGTAACTCTGGTAAGTATAATTTGGTAGAATTTATTTGTAACTTGGTAAACATTATCTTGATAGAATTAATTAGTAACTCTGGTAAGCATTATTTTGGTAGAATTAATTCGTACCTAGGGTTGTTAAATTTCATGTAAGTTACATGTAATTTACTGACTGTAAATTACCTGTAATTTACGTCGTAAGGTATGTAAGTTATACGTATAAACTCAAAATAACAATTTATAAAATTTGGTCTAAATTTTATACTATGATTTGGTTTTAATTGGTCATTTGTTTAGCCATTGATGCTGGGTCAAGTTGATGTTAATGCTGGTAGAAATTCTCATATGATTTGGCCAACTTTAATATCTATTTTATAACTTACATATTGGCCCAGGTAAGTTACAAATAACTTACCGTAATTTACCATGTAATGTATGTTGTCAAGTAAGTTATAACAACCCTATTCGTATCACTGGTTAACATAATTTTGGTAGAATTAATTAGATAGAATTAATTCGTAACTTTGGTAAGCATAATTTTGGTAAAATTAATTTGTAAGTCTGGTAAGCATAATGTTGATAGAATTAATATATAGCTCTGGTAAACATTATCTTGATAGAATTAATTAGTAATTCTGGTAACTTAGTTTTGGTAGAATTAATTCGTAACTCTAGTAAGAATAATTTAGGTAGAATTAATTCGCAACTCTGGTAAACTTAATTTGGGTAGAATTAATTTGTAACTCTGGTAAGCATAATTTTGGTAGAACTAATTAGTAATTCTGGTAAACATAGTTTTGGTAGAATTAATTTGTAACTTTGGTAAGTATAATTTTGGTAGAATTTTATGTAACTCTGGTAAGCATTATCACCAATATCACATAACCTTTACGACCATGGTTGAATAAAACAGCTTTTAATTTTATTCCAATTTTTTTTATTTTTAGCAACATCTCTAAACAATATTAAAAAATTTTTAAAATTTAAACATACAATAATATAGCAAAAATTTTATTAAGATTTAATTTATTTAATTATGCACTATGGTTATAATAAAAAAATTTAAATTAGTTGCAAATTTTCTTGGCAATTTCTACTAAATCCAAAATTTTTTCATCTTTTATATTTGAAAAATTAGGAAAACCTTGCCCTAATAATTCTTTGATGAGGAAGTTATATTCTGATTCTGTCGCGTTGCGAAAAAAATCGGCTTTTAACTTTACTTCAACCATTTCCTTAGGTGTGATATTTGTCACCCAAAGAAAGTGACATAATCTCCAACAACTAGTCCACTTAATTAGCATTGTGCGTGAATTTGT